CCTGTCAGTAAATGCCACCTGGGTGCTTAGTGCTTACAGATCAGATAATCTGACGTAATTAAGAAAGAATTGGGTGGTTTTGACTCGTTTTCTCGAAGCAGGACACAGTTCATTATATTTTCCAATAGGCTTGTCACGATTCTGACCTGACTGACGTCTGCAAGATTGAAACTATACGGTTATCAATTTTTTAATGTGTGAATGATGCCACGTTTACTCGCTGTAAGTAAAACTGGTTTCGTTAGTAAATTTTCCTAGGTCCAGGTGGTTTGCTTCATTTACGCCGTAGATGAAACAAACAATCGATGGATAGGTATATATTAATTTCCCGGTCAAATAAATTATTATGAGTTGTGCGAAGCGTGGCTATGGGAATATCACCACGGTCTGATAAATGGTTTGGGTAATTGCATCCATCGTAAAAATACCAACACAGCCACAGAGGGCTTCCTCTCTACAGATTGCCTCTTATCTACAGAGGGCCTCCTCTCTGCTGAGGGTGTCTTTCTCTCCAGAGGGCCTCCTTTACAGAGGGCATCCTCTCTACAGAGGACATCCTCTCTACAGAGGACATCCTCTCTACAGAGGACATCCTCTCTACAGAGGGCATCCTCTCTAGTCTCTACAGGGACCTCCTCTCTACAGAGGACTTCCTATCTATGTAGGGCCTCCTCTCTTTAGAGTCTCGTCTCTACACAGGACCTCCTCTATACCGAGGACCTTATCTCTGCAAAGGGCCTCCTCTCTTCAGAGGGCCTTCACTCTACTGAGGGCCTCCTACCTACAGAGGACCTCCTTTCTACTGAGGGAGTCCTCCTCTACAGAGGGCCTCCTCTCTTCAGACGATCTCCTCTCTACAGAGGGCCTCCTCTCTACAGAGGGCCTCCTTTTTACAGAGTGCCTCTTTTTTACAGAGGGGCTCTTTTTTACAGAGGGCCTCTTTTTTACAGAGGGCCTCCTTTTTGCAGAGGGCCTCCTCTTTACAGGGGGTCTCCTCTCTAAGGGGGCCTCCTCTCTACACAGGGCCTCCTACCCATAGAGGGCCTCCTCTCTACTGAGGAGTCAGAGGGGCCTTAGCGGTCAGACACAGACACTAGTGGTTATTCACAGGAGATGAGAAGGGCCCTAGCTGTCACTTGTCAGGCTGGTCAGAGGGCCCTGATTGTTCTGACGTCATTTTTGAGATTCCCGGGTGAATTTCGTTCGCCTCCGACGTGATTTTGGCCAACGTGATTCAGGCCGAAAGGATTCAGGCCAACGTGGGCCTTCGGCCCACGTTGGCCTGAATCCTTTCGGGGGGGCCTCCTGAAAACCCCAAGGGAGGGGCGGGCGCCCCCTCCGCCCCCCCCCCCCCTTGGCTACGTCCCTGGCGTAAAGAGGTGCAATAATTTCCGAAAAGTAGCAAATGATTGACTTTCGTCGCGTTCGGTCATTCGCTGTAACTGCATCGCTCAATTGGTATCCCAATGACCACCATATATTCGCTCAATCTGGTTTCGCTGATTCTGGTCCTCGCTAAAGTTGATAATCGCTGTGATTGAATTCGCCGACTTGACAATCGCTGAAAAAGTCAATCGCTTAAATTGATAATCGCTGAAAATGTTTCGCTCAAATGTCGTTCGCTGAAATGACGTTCGCTCAGGTGTCGCAGAACCCTTTGAGGTTACCTGGTACGTTGATTTTAATGTCTTTATGTCTTTTCATGTGTCAAATATACCTTTTGGTTCACTAGGGGACGATGAGGGACTTTTCTAGTTTTCCTTGATGATTAGGGTGGCACTAAAACGGGGCTAAAATTTCGTTTTGAGAATTTTCAACGGGACGGGCAGCCAATCTGTTCTACCACCCGAGGAAACGTTGTGTGTAAAATATTTTTGGAAAATATGTTTATTTAGAGGTAGCTCAACCAGGTCAAAGTTCACATTTTCGTGAAAAACACAACTTTGCCGAAATTTTAATTTCCACGTGTATTTCTGATGTTCACAATGACATTGGACGTTGCCAAGACTTTATCGAAACGTTTCAGCACCTAAAGCTCTGATTTATAGGTACATATGAGGTACATAATTCTTTTGAAGGTATGCATAACTTACTGCATAACTCCATGAAAAGAGAAAGCGGTATCATTCGTAATCAGCCAACACTTGTGCACATCATTCGTCGGCTAGTCTTGCCTATTTAGAAGTTACGATCGCCTTGCGTATGTCAGAATGCTTGCGTCTTTGCTCCTCGACGACCTACAAGAGGAGCTGCTGTTAGTCTTTGTCCTTCGTGGGGGTCAGATCGATTTCCTGGCCATCAACAAAATGCCTCGTTCCGCGAAGTCGTTGAGGCGTGAAGAGACCTCATGTAGCGCATGACGGCGTTGTAGAATGGCTTGACCTCCCACAGAATCGAATCCTTCAAGAGGAAGTCGGTGTCCATACCGAGGATGCTGAAGAAGCTTGTGAAGCCAGTTGTGATATGACGAAGTCTTCCGGTTCCGTGGACTTGCTAGAGACTGAAGCTATAGTAGAGGTGCACCACCAAGGACAGTGATGACCAGCTCCAGCATCTCACCGTTGTCGCGTGAGTGCTGGCGGTCAAGGATATACGACCGAACTGTGCAAGAGCATCACGCGGGTTGTGGAGGTGGGACATGTCACAGTTTTTGAAGGTTTATGGCTTCGTTCCATCTAGACGCCCACTTTTTATGGAAGCGCTTAAACAAAACAACGTTCGGGCCGCTGGACGGGCCGAGGCAGGCTGAAAGTGTCTTTATATGTAGAACAAACTCGTAAATGTCGTGGCAAGTCAGGTGGAGCAAGTCCTGCTCGAGCCGCTTCTCGATGATCGTGCAGGCGCCTGCATTGAGGCTGGTGTTCGATTCAGTTGTGTCAAAACTGAGCGCTTTCACTCAATCCTTCAACTCTCACTCATCGAGGGATTCTAGAACAGCGTTTGTTGCGGCCTGTCAATTTGAGCCTGGCTAGCGAAAAATGTTCTGAAATGGCTTAGCAAAACACATCTTATCTTTTTCACGTGCACGTCTCCTCCCTGACATCACGAAGAAACGGAGACCTGCCCTGTGGCCGTACACTGGCAGTGTCCCCCTGCGCATCAGTAACCGGGAATACATGAGCAGAGTAAATGCGTATTACAAACGGATCACTATAGGTACTCAGCGAAGAAAAAACCATTCCTGATACGCATTTATTCGCTCATGTATCCCCGGTAAGTGCTAGCAGTCTCGTGACCCGTCCCAACCATCGTAATACGAGAGAGGAGCTGAAGTTACACGCCTGGCAGCGGGCTACCGTCACCGAACAAAATAAGCTAAACTACGCTGAACGGCCATTAGTTGAATCACGCATTGCGTCACAGCGCGTTTGCGGCGAGAAACACTGTGGTTATGAAACAAATAGGAAGGCGTCAATCATTCATTTAAACGTGTTACAGCTCAAATATGACAATGCTTGGAAGGGCGCGATACACACCTGAAACCCCGTTCACAATATACGTTTTGTCAATGTGTACCAAGTATGACCCCATTGAGCTACCTCTAAATATAAATATTTTTTGATAAAATTTCATACAGATTATTTTTTCGTGAGGTAGAACATAATGGCCACCCGTCCCGGTCGAAATTAAAAAAGTCGAAATTAAGTGCCACCCTATTGATGATGCTGTTGAAGGTATTTAATCAAATCAGCCCTGAGCTTTTCACGGTAATTTTACCCGACCGCAGTGCCTGTGAAAGCCGTCTACTGTAAACCCCGCCACAACATTTCGCGGAGACGTTACTATGGCCTCTGGTCTTTAATTGAGCTTATTGAAGCAATTTCTAAATAGCCGCTGCTCACTGTCTGAGCAGCTTGCAATGGCCAATCACATACGGTGCCCTTTCGGGCTTCAGACAGCATGCAATGGTTGACCGGGTCACGAAAGGGGCTGCTTGTTCCCCGGGTTCAGAGGGTTCAGTCGGTACGACTTTGTGTCACTACCACCCTTAGGAGAGAACGCACCAATCACAGATCGGACTATCCCACTTCCAAGCTATGTGCGGCCCTTCCCGTTAGCTGACGTCACATTCCACCAGCGCAGCCATACTCAGACAGTCAGCCGGTGTGACGCCAGCGCCGACGCGTGGCGTGTTTGGCCCTGTGGCCATTATTTGTGTGCTCGTCGGGCGGCGCCGGCTATTGCCCTGATGGCCCCGCAAACCAGCGCCGTATCGGCTTTGGCCGGCCGGGCTGGGATGACCAACCGACCGGTGTGCTGGTACAGAACGTCTCTGGCTGCATCACACCGGGATGCGTTCCCCTCGATCGGAGCAGACGAGGAGACGGTTCTGAACCCTTATACAATTCTTGGTAACGGACTCAGCAATGGCTGAGATGTAAAACGAATCAGGAATGGAAACGGTGATAAAAACGAAAGTATAGTCATTGCTACGCATCTACTACTGATCAAAGCTAAAATAATCCCATTAGATTTGCTTTCGAATCAAAATTAGCTCGGTCTGCTTCCTGCGCTGACGTGTTCCTTCAAGTGAGTAATTTTTATTCAGCTCTCGACTGTCGGTAGTTTGGCCTGCGGCGAGGTGCCAAATGGCTCTGCGGGAAATACATCCCGCCCACGTGTTGCTGTGATTCTGGGCACGTGCGTTTACACTGCGGCCACCAGCACTCCCGTGACGACCCACGGCCTCCCTTCGATGACCTGTTTTCTCCACGTGACATCATTGCAGGCGACTGGAGAGTCACCCGCTGACCGGTGTGTGTACGTGCGTGAGCGTGCGTGTTTGTTTTTAGTCTGGTCAGTGGGTTTTTATTTCTAGTCTGACCAGTGTATGTGACGTCTACGTGTTTCTCTCGTCTGACCAATGTACACTCAGTGCGTGTGCGTGGTTTTTTTCTTACCTCTGTGTGTGTGCCTGTGTCTCTAGCCTTTGTGCGTTTTATGTTCCGTTTGGTTATTGCACCCTACGCTAACCATCGCTCGTTCTCTGTGTCTTACAGAGCTACCCGAGGTGCAGTTTGCGTGCGGCGTGCGGCGCGTGCTCACCCCAGAGAGGTGGACGGCCCGCTCGTCCGGCGGAGCGGGTACCCTGTGTCGCCGGCAGCTGCCGCTGCGACTCGCCTGGGCCTTCTCCGTCCACAAGTCGCAGGTAGGGAGCTGATAGCGCTGCCGCACTGCGCTGGGCTGGGTATTCATGACCTTCTCATGAGTTATCTTTGTGGGTGGATGGGCTAGACTGTTCACTGAACTTTCAAGCACCTATTGTGGAGTACGAGTAGGCGTAGCTGACCTACACTACATGAGTAAATGAAGTGGTTATTTTGAACGTAAGGGTTTTGATGACATTTTGGGGCCGCCGTTGGCGCGATGCTTACTTTGCGACATAATTATCTTATCAAAAGGTTGCCTTAATACGCTTCGCTTATCGTTGCAATAACATTTAGCGACAACTCTTCGTAGCTGGTTGGCTGGTCACATCCATTCCTGTGCATCGTATCCGGGAAGTGTTTTATGTCACCATCAGACCAATGCGTCCGGGCAATACGAAAATTGATGGCTGCTCCAATAACGCTGGCTGCCAGGAGAAGGGGCTGGTTTGAAAACGATTGGGCGTTATTCGAACACGTCGCATGAACCATGCTTTCATGCCTCAGGGCTGTACAATGTCCGGCGGGTCGCCGCTCCGTCGCAGCGTTCGACCGCCGCCATCCTGCCCTTTGTTTTATCCGCTAACGGAGTTGGCCGGATTCGACGGGCCCGGGGCGGGTCCTGTGTCAGCGGACGGGGGCTTTTTGCGGGCGGTGCGCCGCGGCGGCCGACTGTTTTCCACCGCCGTATTGTGTGCGTGTCACGGACGGCGGCGCCCAGTCAGGCTTCGGCGCGCCGCGCAACTTTGCAGGCCGCCCAGACGCTCCTCTCGGACCAACTGGCGATTTATGGCGCTCGGCGCCGTTCGAGGTGAAAGCCGTTGATTTTAAGAGGGGTGGAAACGAGGAGGAGTCGGTCACCCGTGATGCCGTGAAGGGCGCGGTGGTGGTGGGGAGGGGGAGGTTGTCTGGGAGTTAGGGTTTGATGGAGTGGGCCAGTTGCGGTCGGTGGGTGGTGGCGTAGCCGAATGAGTGATGAAGTGGAATAGTTTGGGAAACAGCTGGCCAACCCTCCCTTCCTTTCCCCCTCCCTGAGGAGCTGGAAGATGTACCCCATCTCTGCCTGCTATTGGGAAGGGAGAGATGTAGATAGATGTAACTGGCCGGTGTCTCTCCGGGCAGTGGTTCTTGGCTCGGGGACCCCCACTGTTCCGAGAGGACATGTCGGAAGCATCAGCAAACAGACGTCCTTCGCCTGCCGCCGAACGACCGTCCAGGGAACATATTTTACTCGCAGAGTGCACTGTCTTCGGATAAGTTATAGTCTGTGATAACGTGACCACTGTCTCTTCTGTAAATTTATAGTGGTTATATTTGGAATAATTGTGTGAAGTAGACATCTGGTAAACATTTTTACATAATTTTTTATGGACCCATTTAATTGCGTCCCAGAAAAGCTATTTCTGGCACCTAAAAGCTGACTCGCCCCAAAATTGGTCCTCAGCACCTATTTGGTGGATACCAGCACCAATCATGGAAAATGGCCTTAATTAGCTGTTTCTGGCACCTATTCATCGGTACGCCTTACTCTTTTTTCTAAATCTGGCACCTAAATGCTGAGCGTAGCACCAATCTAGTAGAAAAATGAACTACTGGCTGGTAGAATCATGTTGTTCTGGTATAATGACCCCTTGAGTCTAGCCTAAAGGTTGCCAGTGCAGCTACACTCTAAGACAGCCCCGTAGTGATCTCAGCATTGTATATGACGTTTAAGTAAGCAAATAATATTGATTTGTTTGAAAAAAAACAATGTCATTTAAATATTTAAAAGTATTTATTTGTAATGCTTAAAGGGAAACATTTTTGTGAGTAATTGTCTCGATTTTGACCATTAAAACGGGTATTGTATTTTTTTGACGTCATCAAATAGCTCCAAAAAAGAAATGTAATGTTTTCATTCCGTTCAAGGCCGCTGAAGAAACGCGGGATCTTGCGTGGGACATTGTCCGTTGTTTGCCGCGCAGAGTTGTGCCGTGGTTGTGCCTTTTTCATCCGTTTCTTACTTATGTGTGCATGAAGCTTTGATTTTGTTTTTGGTTGTTGTGTGGCCGGTCAGTCAAACGCCCCTGTAGAAACCGGACGCTGCGTTTGATCGAGATGGAGTCAGACTTTGGGCCTGTTCCAGCGCCGCCAGAAACCTCCAGAAAGCTCCAGAAAGCTCTAGAATCCTCCAGAGAGCGTTCCAGCGCCTCCAGAAAGCTCCAGAAAGCTCTCGCCAAAGCTCCAGAAACCTCCAGTAGCCTCCAGAGAGTTGGGAGGTCCAAATTTCTCTGGAGGCTCTGGTCTACAATTATGGCGCACATGTGACAATCACGAATGTAATCAAAGAACTTTTGCCTGATTATTTTACAACTTGAATGTAAAAAAATTACATTGCTATAATTTTGCTAATCTTTCTTAATAAAATTGAAAATAAATTTTGCATTTCAAGAGAGATCAATCGTCATTCTTTTGGTATCTGTGATGCCAATCTCCAGAAACCTCCAGATTGCGTTCCAGCGCCTCCAGTGAAACCTCTGGTAGAGCCTCCAGTCAAGAATTTCTACTGGAGGCGCTGGAACAGGCCCGATGATTGCAGAAAGCCAGAAAGCTAATAATATTGAAAAGAGGGCCGGTTGCGTGGCATGTCTGTTCAGAGTTGACATTTTGCTTTACTCCAGTTTATGATCTGAGAGCCTGACTGGAAGTGACGGATTCAAACTTTTCACGTTAAAATGGCTGAGGGTGCAATAATCTCTACATAGCGGGCTGGTATAGGAGCGTCTTGCTATGCTGCACCATAGCTGGCTAGTGATTCTCTTTTGGCTAGAAATGGCATTAATCATTATCTCCACTGGCGAAAATGGCACTTGACATCACCGAATGCAAAGTTCATGTTTGTTAGGATACATAAAATCAGGAAGATTACGCGAATTAGGTAGGCAAACGTGGAATAAAATAGGTGCTGGATGTTTTGGTTTTGGTGCTGAATCAGCAAACAGCAAATACGGAGTTCAACTAGACGATCTGGCAACTTTAGGCTGTGTGGAAGCAATTAGGTGCCAGATTCAGATATTAGGGTCGAATAAGCATTTTGGGGCTGATCAGCAATTAGGTGCCAGAAACAGCTTTTTAGGGACCAGAAACAAATATTCCCCATTTTTTATTTACTCCAAAACCAGCCTTGTCAAAATTGTCGGTGTTAGTTACACGTATAGTCCGACATGTATACTTGTTATTGTTTTCGTGTGTGTTTGAAATGTTCCATGTGTGTGACGCATGACCGTATCCGCCTCCCGACAGGGTATGACGCTCGACTGTGTGGAGATGGCCCTGTCGCGTTCCTTCGAGCCCGGCCAGGCCTACGTGGCTCTCTCGCGCGCCAGGAACCTGCGCTCGCTGCGCGTGCTCGACTTTACAGCGGCCTGCGTGCGCGCCCACCCGGCCGTGCTGAGGTTCTACGCCCGGCTCCAGTGTGTATGACACGGACCGCGGGACTAGGTCAGTCTGGTGGCCAGTCAGGTGACTTAAGCAGAGGACCTGGAAATCCCTGCTGGAGTCGATGACCCAAGCCGTGGGTCTGAGGCGGTCTGGCTGCCATGGCGGCTGACCGGTACCGACTGACCCGGTACGGCTTTAGGATAATTTTCGCTGGCGTCGTGACGCTACCGTCTCGTAGTTTTTGCGTGCTTAGTTTTCTCTCATTCACTGTGATCTTTGATATTTCCGGTATCGTAGTCTTGCCAAACGCGATCAAGCTCAGGATTTTGAAACGATTGTGCTGTAGCGATAGATAGTTTTTACTTAGATCTCGGCTGATCTCTCAAAGTTTGCATTCCTAGGAGCTGAAGTGATGCCGTCGCTCGTTGTTACCTCAGCTGTGTCGCTCTTCTTTAATGTGTCGTACAGCAGCCGACGGGATTGACTGTCGATGTGTGCATCTAGCGTCATGTGAACGTGTAGCTACTGCGTGCTTCAACTACCACTTGGCACGAGTTCTCAGTAACAACGAAGTTCATCGCTCAGGACGTATCGCTCAGTGCTAAGACGCTGGAGCGTTGTAGCTTGCATTTTTTTCATGAGTGTGTTTTCCAAGCGTCATGACCTTTTTATCTCTCTGACTTTTTGTACGACCTTTCGACACAAATATAGTGCATGGAACGCGCCTGTGCTCCGATAATGCCAATCACTGCTGCGATGCGTTATTTCCGGTACGTCGGGAACCGGCGATGGGATCGGACTGCCTTAATGACCGTGTTGGACATGTCATGTGCTGGCCATTCACCAGTGGCCAAAGGCGAGTACCGTCCTTCGGCTACTTCATTGCGGAACAGTGCCAAATACTGAATATTTGTTGTTTTGGATCTTTATTTTCGTATACAGTTATTTATAAAACATTCAAACGCGTGCTAGTATTGTCATTCCGGTCGTCATCCACACTGTGTTGACGTTTGGCGGTATGTACGCCTATTCTACATCCATTTGTCACCAATGATGGCGAAAGTTCTCATTCAACTCTGAAAGGTCGCTGCTCAATCGTCCGTTAATAGAAGCTGATGTTGAGGAAATCCAGTATGTTTTGATGTTAGGGCTGCGATATATGTAGAGGATGATCCACAGACCCATCGCGCAATAAAAAACCAGCATGGTTCTCCTGACGAGTTTCTGCTTAGTTATGTGACAAGCGAACTGTTTTCTACCATAAACCACCATTTTCCATTAACTGAACGTCAACCCATTGCCCATCAGTCAATTTTCTCATCTAGCTCCTCTGGGCGGTGACGGCAGAGCTGACTCACCGTCTGCCATGTGGCCGGCCGATTGGCGTGTCGCTCGGCCCGGCTACAGGCGCGTGCTGTTGACGGCCTGACACGCGCCACCTGCCGGTGATGACGGGTCATCTGTCACCATTGACAGGCCAATCCCGGCCGTCTGCCGTCACCGCTGACGGATGGCGGCGTCCGTCAACGGAACCGTCACCGCCGGTTAGTCGGTCCAATGGACGTCATCGCCCCTAGTAACGGCAGGAGTATGACTAGAGATCCACTAAGTGCACGCATGGATGAACGGGAAATGGTACTGAGCCTGATCGACGGGCTGGGTAAATGACGACTTTCATGTATGCAGCATTTGTTTGTTTTGTTTTGTTTTGTTTTGTTTTGTTTTGTTGGGTTAGGCCCTTTCGGTCGACAAGACCATTGCAGAGCCGGAAGGATGATAGGAATTAGGGGGAGACATTGGTCTGGGCAGGCACCCTAGTGAGTCGCCGGGGCTGAGCCCGTCCAGAGGACAGGCCACCCAGCCCCAAGGCACTCACTGCACCCGGCTACGGGGTGCGCTCCCTCAGGAGCAGCGGTGCCGCTCCAAGGGAGCAGCCCGCATGAGATAAAGTTGCCTGTCCAGCCCGGAGGGGGGTTGCGGCGTGGAGGAGAAGGATTTCAGTATCCTGAGGATAGAAGCACGGATAGGTGTGTATGCAGCATGCTACTCGGGTGCTTTGATTCATCAAAGATAGGTATATACTCCAGATTTCACCTGCATGAGAGCGTTCTCACTTGCTTCGGTGAACTCACAGACACCGGCCGCCGCTGCGAATCGCTGTCATGTTCACCTGGTCTGGCTGACTCCCGATGTCAGTATTCATGGCTCATACTGTATGTATACTATAAACGTCCTCATCCTGTACGGTCCATCGTGTTTATTTTCTCTCGCACAGGCGCTGTGCCGGGGCAGTGTCCGTACGGGACGGCAGGCTCCTGAGATGGCGGTGGGCGGTGGGCGGCTCACAGACTCACAGTGACCCGGTCAGCGAGCAGCTCAGATGTCAGCAACTGCTGAAAAGGAGGTAAGAACATTACCAGAGATAACCCTGTGGCCCCTGGTTTCTGAATTAGTTGTGGATGGATGTTGGTATGATATGGGATAGCGCAGCGACCTTGATTGGCTCGCAATGTCAGCGCTGGATGGCACTTGGCGGTCGGAATGACGATGCATGTGTAATTGAACCGTATTTCGCTTGTGCTAGAACCGCTTCGGTGCCCCATTTGTGGTCGATTTGCTTAAATTCCGAGGTATCATCTCGCGTGATACCCACTTTCCTAGCCTACCACCGTCTAACTCGCTCCCTGTCACCTCGTTCACAACGTCATTTCCCGGGATGACGTGGTCATTTGCCGCTCATTTGATTCCTTCCATCCGCGACGCTCCGCCACTTGCCGTGTCATTCCCCGTCTCTCAGACGGACAGGCTCGCTGACCGTTCCGTTCATCCCCTGAGGGTCATTGACCTGTCGGGCAGTCCCCCCCCCCCCTCCGACTCCGCCCCGGTCCGGCCGTCTGCTGTCTGTCTGTAAATAATGGGGAATGTTGGACATTCAGCGGATGCTTTTCCGGTCTTTTCAGTTCGATACGATGTGACTCGTCTCTCTCGCTGGTTAATTGTCCTTTTCTCACGGTAACACCCGCGTTCCTCTTGCGTCGGACTTCATACTTCGTTTGCCCCCTCCAGCTCTGCTCCCTGCCGACCCTGTGCCGCCGCTCTCTGCCAACAGATGGCGCTGGCGGCGGTGTTTGACGGTCCGGGGAAGCCCCTGCGCCTGACGCGTCTGCCGCTGCCCGACCGGCTGACTGAAGGAGAGGCGCTGCTGCGACTGGTGGCGGCTACCGTGTGTGGCTCGGACGTCCACACCATCCGTGGAATGCGCACCGAGCCGACTCCGGCGTGAGTGGGGTCACACCAGGGCCACGCGGGGTCAAACAGGGTCACACAAGGTCACATGGGGTCAAACAAAGGTCACACGGGTCACAAGGTCAAACACGGCCACAGAGGTCACAGAAAACCGTACCCTGTTTTAGCATTTGGCGACGAGACAGTATTGGCGAATGGTGACCGGCTTTCGCTCGATATTGGCTCCCAGACACGTTTTTATGCCTCTGCTGATATATCAGCATTTTTGTCGTTTCAAGCACTTGAACTGCCTTTCTAGAACTTAGCCGGACCGGTCGCACCATTCATCTCCCGCGGTGTGTCATTTTTCGCCCGTGATGCGGGCCTATTACATCATGACGCCCGCGGACCATTATCGGCGATGGTCGCTGGCCGGCGGGCCACACTCGGCGGTCATGAAGGACACTAATGGTGGACGGTGAGCGATGGAGCGACCCGACCCGGGCGCTCCGGTCTCGCAGACTCTGACCGGTGCTGTGAGCCGACCGGCCGGCAGCTGTCGGACGACTGGGCCGCCGCGGCTCCCGGGCCCGGAGCGGGACTCCCCGCCCGGAAACTCCTCCTTCCTTCCCCGGCCCTCCCCGGTCTCCGCTCGATCGGTGCCGTCGAGCGGACTTCCGACGCCCGAGAGCGGAGAGCGAAGAGAGCAGGAGAGAGTAGAGGGGTCTCCGTTAGCCAGGCCGTCTCTGCTCTGGAGATAGGCTGCTGATCTCATGGCCTTGGCATGTGGTGTGCACTGTGCGCTGTGCAGACAATCATACGGACGGTTAGGACCGTAAAGCAACGGATGGTAAGCGATTATGGCCTGGCATGACAAACTTAAGACGGTAATGCTGACGCCTGACGCTAAATTCGATAGAAAAGGAAGTAAATTCCATGACGTGGACGTATGGGCAGCGTAGTAGCGATGTCTCTGGACCAGCATCATGCACTATCTTGCGCGAGAGGAACCGCTTTACCTTTCCTCATCCGAACTGAACACCCGAGTGCCCATGTCTTGAATGTCTTTTGAGCTCGATGTCCTTATGAGACACCTCGTCTTGTTTCTCTGCCACCAGGATCCTGGGTCACGAGGGTGTGGGCCGTGTTGAGATCAGTCGTCGACCTGACCTGACCCCGGGTCAGCTGGTGACCTTCTGCGTGTGTGACGTGTGTGGCGAGTGCGACCGCTGCTCAGTGGGCCTGACGCAGAAGTGTCGACAGCTAATGAAGGTATGTAAAGACAAGGAGGGCATTTGAAGAAGTTTGCCAGTTCAAGACTCATACAAATGCTAATGATAGAGTTGCATATAATTTGCGATTGATTTGATTGGGACAAAATTAACCATCTTACTAGCCCTGCCAGAGCCGTTAGTTGTCTGGTGTGGGGTGGGATCAGTGACACTCATATGTATTCACGTGACCTTGACACGGCTTGTGAGTAACCTCGTCACTGCCACTGACCGACCTTAGGTGACCTCTCTCCTCCCCTCCGTGCCGCAGTACGGTCACACCACGCTTAGCAGCGGCAGCGGACTGAACGGCTGTTACTCGAGCCACGTGCTGGTCCGACCTGGCACCCACGTAGTTCCCCTGCCTCCGCATCTGGCCGCCTCTCCCGGCCTGGCGGCGCCCATCAACTGCGCCCTGGCTACGGTCATGGCAGCGGCGCGCGCCCTGCAGAGCCATCTGCCCGTGACCGCGAGAACTAGGGCACTGGTTCAGGTGAGATGCCTACAGCCAAAGGATATCCACCAGGGCTGCGGAGTCGGAGTCGGAGTCGGAGTCGGAGTCGGTCGGAGTCGACAGTTGTGACCGGAGTCGGAGTCGGAGTCGGAGTCGGAGTCGATTTTAGAAACCCGAGCCGGAGTCGGAGTCGGAGTCACCGAAAATCTGTCGACTCCGCAGCCCTGCTAGGTCTGCGGAGTCGGAGTCGGGAGTTGGAGTCGGTTGGAGTCGACAATTCTGCCCGGAGTCGGAGTCGGAGTCGGAGCTGGTTGTTGAAAGCCGGAGTCGGAGTCGGAGTCGGAGTCGCCGAAAATCCATCGACTCCGCAGCCCTGATATCCACTGATTTTGGAGAGCCCGCGCTGTTCTGACTGGTCGATATGACCATTAGAAAAATGTTGTATAAATGTACGTTCTGCGAGCCTCCATAGCCTGTCTGGCGGCTCTCGGCGGCCGGGAGGCTGTGTTTGTTCTGTTCCCTATCGGCTGATGCCGCCCCCCGCCGTGTGTGCCCACCGAATACTAACCGCGCCCGATGAGCTGTGCCGTAAATACGTCCCGGTCCGCCGCTCACCGTGTTGCCGGGCGACCCGATCCGGTCAGTCGATAACGGCCAGCGTGATAGGTGTTCACGGGTCCGTGACCTGACAGTCCCCACGCGGTGGGTTCACGTGGGCCGCATCAGGGCCCTCCTCACAAACCGCTTATAGTCATCACCTATGTATCATAATCGCCGGCGGCAGCGCAGTCACACCGTTCTAATAATATACACGATAACGGCCACGTGTCGGTGCCCATGGGAACTGAGCGCTCCGCGATCTGATGAGGTCCGGGAAATACGGCTCTAACTACTTGTCTATTAATACCATTCGGGAGGCAGGAATTATCGCTTGTGCGTGTGCCGCGGTGTCTCAATGCTTCCTTGATATAACGTTATACGCCAGCAACTCGTGCGATCCTAATGTACAATTAACATCTCGTGTTGGTGAAGGCATATCAAAGTAAGAACCCAGTTATTGGCTGGTTCAGTGACTGGCTTGATGTTCTTTCATTCATTGGTTTTACTCGCTGTCGGCCTTGATCGACTGAATTGGTACATTTCTATAACTTAAAACTAAACGAACATGTCCGTCGTG